GATATAGAAATGAAAGAAAGTTATAGTGCTTAGAAGGAGGCAATTCCGGGAGAAGTCCCTTAGGAATAAATTCGGAAAAATTAATTTCCGACCTCGCTGGGATTCGAACCCACGACCTTCGGATTTGTACACCGATGCTCTACCAGCTGAGCTACAAGGCCAGACTGGGAGCAGGTCGGGGTGAAATAGATGTTAAGGTTGCGGTAATAGAATAATGTAAAGATATGAATATGAAGACCGCATGGCACTATGATAAACACGATATAGAAATGAAAGAAAGTTATAGTGCTTAGAAGGAGGCAATTCCGGGAGAAGTCCCTTAGGAATAAATTCGGAAAAATTAATTTCCGACCTCGCTGGGATTCGAACCCACGACCTTCGGATTTGTACACCGATGCTCTACCAGCTGAGCTACAAGGCCAGACTGGGAGCAGGTCGGGGTGAAATAGATGTTAAGGTTGCGGTAATAGAATAATGTAAAGATATGAATATGAAGACCGCATGGCACTATGATAAACACGATATAGAAATGAAAGAAAGTTATAGTGCTTAGAAGGAGGCAATTCCGGGAGAAGTCCCTTAGGAATAAATTCGGAAAAATTAATTTCCGACCTCGCTGGGATTCGAACCCACGACCTTCGGATTTGTACACCGATGCTCTACCAGCTGAGCTACAAGGCCAGACTGGGAGCAGGTCGGGGTGAAATAGATGTTAAGGTTGCGGTAATAGAATAATGTAAAGATATGAATATGAAGACCGCATGGCACTATGATAAACACGATATAGAAATGAAAGAAAGTTATAGTGCTTAGAAGGAGGCAATTCCGGGAGAAGTCCCTTAGGAATAAATTCGGAAAAATTAATTTCCGACCTCGCTGGGATTCGAACCCACGACCTTCGGATTTGTACACCGATGCTCTACCAGCTGAGCTACAAGGCCAGACTGGGAGCAGGTCGGGGTGAAATAGATGTTAAGGTTGCGGTAATAGAATAATGTAAAGATATGGATATGAAGACCGCATGGCACTATGATAAACACGATATAGAAATGAAAGAAAGTTATAGTGCTTAGAAGGAGGCAATTCCGGGAGAAGTCCCTTAGGAATAAATTCGGAAAAATTAATTTCCGACCTCGCTGGGATTCGAACCTCCGACCTTCGGATTTGTACACCGATGCTCTACCAGCTGAGCTACAAGGCCAGACTGTTTTATTGTTTGGTCTGGAAATTGAAATATGCCAATTCATGTACTTGTAGTTTTAGATTACCAGGAAAAATAGTTTTGAATTACCAGTAACTTTAATGTCCAGCAATTGTTATGYTKTMGGGTTAAGACCAGTACTGAATTTACAGAATGATTGTGAAATRTTCAARTATCATTATTATTATAGTTTTATAAGTAATTATTTTAGTKTAAGTTTATGACGCASTTTAAAAATGTTCACGTGATCGATATTTGTAGAATAAGCCAAGGTCGTCCTAAATGGGGAATTCCCCTCAGTGTGGACCTATGCCATAATTGGTTATTGTTTTAGTTAATATCAGATTATTATTTGGGTTTCGTCTAATTTTGTAAACGTATATCAAGCAATGTAAGAATAATAGTAGTTAGTCAGTCCAGAGAGTTGAACCAGTACAGATCATTAAGCAACCGCGTTAAAATAAAGAACAAGAACAAACTAAGAGGTACGTTTTCACTGCCGCGACGGTCCCTTGTGGTCCAACAATAATGATAATAAAAATTGAAAGAAAAGTTCCATCAGAGACGAAGGAACAGTGGGAAGGGAAACCATTGCACGGGCAATATCGAATAAACGTGCAGAAGCCCTATGTTGATCAAGCAGCTACCAACTTATGGTTAACAACAGGCGACTTAAAAGGTGAGACTGAAGGTTTCATCATTGCTGCACAAGACCAATCGCTAATGACACGCAACTATCAACATTACGTCCTTAAAGACAACACCACTGATGGTCTCAGCAGACTATGCCACAGCAAAACGGAATCTATCGATCATCTTCTTACCGGCTGTGAGATTCTTGCACCAACACAGTACTTAAAAAGACACAACAACGCAGCCTCTTACTTACACTGGGTTATCTGCAAAGATCACGGAGTTCAGGTGACAGCCAAACGGTACCAGCACGATCCACCAAAGGTTGTAATCAAAGATCACAAGACCATCATGTGGGACTGTTCAATAATAACAGATAGGGCAATTCATGCGAACAGGCCAGACATAGTGGTTAAAGACAGCATGAATAACACGTGCCAACTGATTGATATGTCAACACCATCAGATCGAAACATCTACCTTAAACACCATGAAAAGAAAAGCAAGTATAAAGACCTTGAAATTGAAATTAGAAGAATGTGGGGTACCAATACGGAAGTTATATCAGTCATTGTAGGGGCCCTAGGAACGATAAAAAACGGAACAACAGAAAATCTGCAAAAAACATCAACCAACATTCAGATAAAAACATTGCAGAAGATTGTACTGTTAAGCTCATCCCACATGATGAGAAAAATTGCGTTTGGTCAAGCTAACACCCTTTTGAGAATACTTTCATGGAAAGTCAGATCCTCTCCTGATTAGCTCTCCTACATTTCAAGCTTGATGATGCTATCCAGTAGTGACCAAAGACAATCATTTCGAAGCAATCGTCTGAGGCTTGACTCTTATCCTAAGATATAACCTTACTCTGGAACAGGGTATCGATTTCGCCGATTTTTCTCTGTAACAAGGACAGCGTTTAAAAATTCACGGTGTAAACATTCGGTCTACACGCAGGCTAGTGCTGTATTTTACTGTGGAACAGGGTATCGTTTTCAGCGATTCTACTCTGGAACAGGGTATAGTTTTCAGCGGTTTCACTCTGGAAGAGGGTCAGGGTTTTGAGGTCCCAGCGGCACACCCCCACCCAAGTTTGGAGCATCCGTTACTTTTCGAAAACAGTCTGTTGTAAAATTACACTAACATCGAATTGGATTTTCAAAGAAATTGGCTTTCAAATCACCAATTGTTTTAAGTTTCTTTGAGCTTCTTCCTTGAAAAAGGAAAGAGGAGTAGTGATAATTCAAAACGCAGTTTTACATCCAAACAAACAGGCAGAGTGGACCTCCTGATTCCTATAGTTGGTCTTCCTGTGGTGAATCCATATATGGTCTAAACGCGTGCTCGCGTTGTTTTTTGGGTTAATAGGCGTGAATAGTCCAGGCGGTAATAGTCCATTTTAGCATTTGACCCGGAACAAATTTCAACAGTAGCTGTCTCTTCAAAAATCTTCTAGATTTAATGCCCTAATGAACATACTAAAAGTCCCAAAAAATCCGAGGCGTGCAACACCCTGAAATTTAGGACTGAAAACCTGTGTGAAGCGGATATAGGACTGAATTGTTCACGTTTGGGTTAAAAGCACCAAACTTTCAGGAAATATTGATTTTAATACACTTATCAATATTAGATATGGAGCCACCGTGAAAATGAGCTCTGATTTGAGTTATAGGGGATTTTTCAAAATGGCCGCCATCTTGACAGGAAGTGAAATGGTTAATTAAAGAAATCGTCCCTTTTGATAATATTTTTTCTTCTTTCTCATTATTATACCATACAAAAGTTGTTTTGACAAGAATGCTTTGTGATTTTGCTGAAAAGAAAAAATATGGAAAATTATCGAGATGAAGATGAAGACCGGAAGTGGATCTTCTAAACCGGAGGTGAAATATTTTTATTCGCATTACTTGTCTGATCAATGGAAATACATAGTCTCCTTCGCAGCCTACCCTTTTGTCGGGCTTCCTGTCCCTCCCAAAAGAATGGGAGGGACAGGAAGCCCAACAAAAGGGTAGGCTGCGAAGGAGACTAGGAAATACACAGTTTGCTGAAAAAACATCTTAACTTCCACAAATGTCAGAGCAGTACCATGGTGGGCATCAATCCTATCACTTGATCGACAGTAAAAAGACAAACTTCTCTAAGCAATTCATGAAAATCTCAATGAGGACGTGAAGGCAATATTAGCATCTGCGATACAGCTTTCACATCGGTTTCATTGCAGTCCTCTTCCCTCAGCTTCCCTGATTCACTAAAACTTGAAAGAGTATCGCAACCTGGCATGCAGAATGCCGAGTAACAAAGAACGATCCCCTCCAAGAGCCTCTCATGAGCAACGAGGAAACCATTTCTAAAGGATAATCTAGATCTCACATTGCCACTAGGCCTGATGTGGGGCCTAGAAAGGCTCTTTACTTCATATACGAAAAACAATGGACAGTGCAATTCAGTTATGTGCGCGGTATATGAGGTCTCTATCATTATGAGGACAATCACATTGTTAACCAACCAACCAACCGACTCATATCTGATCATGGAGCACAGCTTAAATCTTCAATGCACCGTAAAGCAAGACCCATCGTTAAAATGGCATGGATCATAAAGGACATTAATTTTTACTGGAAATGACTTATATCAAATAAAAGAAGGCCTAGTGGGTCTGAAGGAAAATCAGAGTAGTAAATACTAAAACCAATGTGCCTGACAGCATACACAGTCACTACATGACGGACATCAATTGTCTATGTATGACCACAAGCAAAAGACCTGGGAATCAGCAACAACTGTACAGCAACGAGCTAAAGAACTAAGGTGGTGCTTTGTGAAAAGGAAAGGCAATGCCGTGTATTGCAGAAGCAGATCTGACCAACAACTAGCAATCCAGCAACACCGGGAGTATAACGCAACAGCAAAACAGCAAGCAAATGGTCAAATACAACACAGTACTTTAGGGTGTAGACGCGGCCTCCTGCCACTCAACAACAACTAGACCCCGGGTTAAAAGTACAGAGAATGCTCGTCGGATCTCTTAGGGGTAAAAATTGTGTGATTTGAAGAGTGCCATTTTGGAGTTTCTGGAAATTTGCATTTTCTGCAATGTCTTAAGACCCGTTTACACTTGCGATTTTTGTCGCGCGACAATCGCGCTTCAAAATTGCAAGTGTAAACGGGCCTTTAGGGTGTCTGAAAAGAAGAGAAAGAGCGCGTCAATATTGATTTGCCTCTGCCTCTTTTGTTTTGTCATTAATATTTTATCATTGATATTAAAGTTTTACTGCAAGACAATAATGACTAAAACTTATGCAATCTGTTAGGGGTTAAAAATCAGTCACCCACGCCCTTTTCATGACTCCCGAGATCTTTTAGGGGTCTAGACTTGCAATACACTTTTATAGAGAGGAGGATGTAATATAATATACATAAGCATTAGTATATCAAGTTACTGTTATTGACATTGCTCGCCTCACGATTGTAAGGTATAAATATCTCAACATTTTTGTGTAATCATTTTTTTTTTTTAAGATTTTTATTCCAATATAATAAATATAAATAATACTACATTACATTGCAACAAAACAAAACAAAACAAAAAAACAAAACAAAACACGAAACAGTGAAAACAAAGATACTCATATTTGTTACGTTAGACTGTCGTTATTAGACACTGTGTTGTTGTGCTAACTTGTCCTTTAATATCACAATCGGACTAACACATACAAACAATGGTGAACTCTCCGACTACACAGGTATCCCGATACTGTAAATACCGTTACAATATTATCACCTTGGAAAAAAAGACTTAAACACATCATTTTTAATCATTATTGTCTTGCATAGCATAAAACGAGTTCTAAGCAGTAAAACTTTGCCATGGATAACATTAAGACATTTCACAATAATCCTGGTATGGAAATTGATCAAGCCTATTCATGGTTGAATGAACTTGACATTCGCGAGGCCTGTGGAAAGATTTACCGAGTAGTTGAAGTTTTGTTTCTTAATTCCGTTTGAACATTTCTTTTTAGAATTTGAAAATCAGGAAAATTCAAATATATTGTTTGAAAGAAACCTATTTGTCTTTGTCTTTTGATTCTTTTATTTTTATTTTTCAGTGTTTTTATTTTATGTTATTCTTGGTTCATTTGCTGTTGCCTTTTTCCCGCGCATTTTATGGATGAGTGCAATCCAGTCTTATTTCCATCTTGACTCCTCCCCCGTGATTTGAATATTGCTTTATATAATCGGAGCATCGTCCTCCTCAATCATAAACCTCTAATCATGGATCATGTAAGAAGTACGCATTTGGGACAGGTGAAGGGGAGAAGCTTCTTTTTCAATTCATGTGATATTAGTCAATTAATCAGAGAATGTTTGAGGAACCCTGATAGGGATAGGCCCGATCGCGAACATCCCTCCGATGCCTCCAAAGCATAAGCGTGATCAGAAAGAAAATCATGCATTTCCTTGAACGTAGGACTTTGGTTATTAGCAGTATGCTTTCCCATTCAAAGCGTGTTACGGAATCAAGCTTTTTCTTGCAAATGTAAACAAGCCAAGAGYTCCAGTGTTGAACAGGTTCTCCTAAATTGCGTAGAAATTGATTGTTTTCATCCATGACATTACATAACTTTTTATATGTAATAGGACTCCATGCTGTCCAATTAAGAAATAATTGGACGAGGAAAATTCCGAGGACTGCCAAAAATTGGCAGTACTGTTGGTAACGTTACCTTACATATAGGGGCACGTTACATATAGGGGCACATTACATATAGGGGCGAGGGGGAGGGGAGGGGTGGTATATGACGTTTACCTCATCTTGAATGCAGATTCGATAAAAGCAATAACACTGTTCTATGATRCTGCTATTGTAGTTTAGTTTTAACCATGTCTTCCGAATTTTGATTATATTTTGAAATTTTCTCAGCAAAATTGAAAATCACATTGTTCAATACGCAACGTGCTTGATATCCGTATTTAATAGTAAGCAACGGAAGAAAAGTATTAGGCTTCATATTTATTGTTGTAATTTTAAGACATTGTTTAAATTAAATTTTATCAAAATGAGTGAAGTGAGAGAAGTTTAATAATGTAATGCATATTTTATATTGACCCGTTTAGACATTTTTATTTACCTGGGTAGAGCAAAGGCAATTAATCCGAGAGTTTTTTAAAAAAAGAGTTCAAAATCTGTCACTATAGCAGAACTGTCTTTGAATCACCATTGTTACTGAGAGTGATCGCTGTTAAACGGTGCAACTGTACATACCAAATAGTGCTATTTCGTTTGTAGTAAATCGTACATGCAGTGACTTAATCATCCCAAACACAAACACCATGGTTGAGAGATGAATGTCAAGAATGATAATAAAATAACGACTGAACTTCGTGGGTTGCACTTCAACGATAATGGTTGTCAAATAAAGACACAAGACGCATTTCTAGTAAATCATAATAAAGACACAGCACGCATTTCCAGTGAATTAGGATTYCAATTAAATTAAGTTGATAGAAATGAAGCACTCAATACCGTCTTGTTCACTTTCAATTTCACAAAATAGTACAAAGAGGTTAATTAAAACTCTAACAGCAAAGATAKAAAAGCAATACTATTCAGACTATTYTTTGATGATACAACTGTCAAATTGCTAAAAGATRTACTARCATTCTTWTAATATATATGTTTTCTTAATAGAGTACAAACACTAAAACTGTGCAACATAAATAGACCACTAAATACTAATAATGCTAATTCTATTGTTTTCTATTGCTTAATTAACACTATTTTGTAGTAAGTAGTCAGAAAGTGTTGCACACATTTAATGTTTGTACTCTAACATTTTACAGTCATTAGGGTATTTTTAATTATATTACCTTACATTTAGGTGCACATTNAATATAAGCGGTTTTTGACCATAAAAACGTTTGCCAGGAACAAAATAGGGCGCCACATTTGCTTGTGAGATTGTCAACAATGTAGCACAAAATCCCTTTCCATTTAGAAGAACAGGCCACTTTGGCTCCTGATTTGACAAACGTTTGTCGAGATAAATTCAACGTCGTCAAACATCTCTCAGCAAGCGGTTGTCAATCAATTGGATTGCCATTCAGCGACTGTTGAATAACAAGATCTCAATAATATGCACTTCATGTTATCATTTACTACACAATAGGCCGTTTGCATTATGACGTATATAACTTTACTACAACTACCAGAGAGCCTTGCGCATTTTTCATTGTTATTCAGATTTTTATTCCCCTTGGAGATTAATAAAGCAATTGGCACTAATTGCATTACAAAAGAAAGTTGGCAAAGCATTCTAGCAGTTGTAGTAAATGACGCCATAATGCATATCGCTTATTGACTGACATGGCAAATTTCGCTGAATAAGGTAAGTCAGTTCTAACTCAAACGAAACGTAGCACTATGATCAAAATTAATTGCATGACCTGACCTATTCAAACGTTGCCACGATTTATATATGCGGGCTGTACAAATGCTTGGATAGAAGAAAAACTTAGAAAATRTTTTTTTTGTGTGTGTCTACCCGGAACATATTAAAAACTTAAAAATTATAAGTCAATATTTCAGTCGATTTGATTCTTCCGCTTTGTTCCCTCTAGGACCGCATTTGTACCTGCAATAAATGCATTCGCATTATCATCAATTTTGATTAAATTTCAAGAATACTCATGAATATTGTCGATAAACCATGTCGTATTTTTCGCTCATTCTCGCTTTACTTGTATAAAAAAGATTTATTGAATCATCAGTGTTTATCGTAAAATACCTTCAGCACTGAATTTTAATCCGTCTTATCTCCATTTCAATTGCTCATCAAAACTCTACATACTGTTTATAACAGAAACTCTTCTTTTTTCTGGATATTATATATTTCTGCATGCATGCATTCCCGGCCAAATGAAAAGGCGGTTTTGACTTAAAGACAGAGTGATTTTTCATAGCCATTAAAATATTCCTAGTTTAACATATTATTACTTCCTTGTTTATTCATTATTCTGTGTTGTCTTATATTCTATTTAGATATATCGATAAGCAAAAAGTTAAGGTTGCGTTTTCAGTTTCCGCAACTATTCTAGCCATGCATGTTATTTATTTGTGAAAGATTTATCGAGCTATTCAACCCTTTCTTCGCCTCGAGACCGCTTGGATGTGTCATATTAATCATATTCAAGTACAATGTTTTCTACTTTAAATTTATATGGTTCAAAATCGTTGGCAAGTTTGTGTTAAGTTTGTGGTAAAGACGCAAGAAAAGTCAGTAAAATTGAAAMGATTAATGAGTTATTTCTTGTTTTAATTTGTGGTTCTTAAACTTCTCTCTTTTTGTCAAAAGAGAGCAAATTAATTTAAAACATTCGACTGAGCTAACAGGTGCATTTTAAGAATATGAGGCAGAAATATAAATATTTCATTTTCACATTTTATTCTAATGAACTTATGTAAGTTCCTAGCTTCGGAAACTACTCCCAGCCGTCAAAGGAACAGTCCATCTTCAATCGAGTTATAACTGATTTTTTTAAATTGTTTATCATTATATTTGATAAGAAATTTATAGGGCTGTCAATCTTCCTCACTTATCTCGTACGTGCTGTTGTGTAGACGGTCTTTTTTCTAAAAGACAGCCAACACTCTCAACTGAGTTCATTCAATGTACAAGGCGTTAATTGCATTTCAAAACGAGACCTCAGTGGTCCAAATGACATTTCTACATCGACGACACGGCGACCATTTTGGAAGGGAGATATAAAATCATTATGGCGTTGATTATAATTCAATTCATGAAGCAAAAAAGTTACTAAAGCCAACAAAGAGATGAATTAAAAAAATGGAGGTGGAAGAAATATTCAAGCGAATGTCTGAATATCGTTTTTCTAACAGTGGCCATTTTGAATCTTGAGGCATCCATGCTGTCACGGGATGGATGCCCCTTGGCTTTAACCATAAAAATCAGACTTCGGTTGAATTTCGGTTTTTTAATGCGTCCCTTTATATCCCTTAACTAAAGGATTGTGATGAATTGAATGTTTCAAAGGTGCTAACTGCGGAAAATCTCCTTTTTCTTGATGGTCACCGGCACTCCCTCTAATGGGCACCTTACTTTCCTCAGTTTGTTTCACTCACCGAAAAAAACAATGACCATTTTGGATACTTTTAAGGCTTAACGCTTTTCAAAGTGGAAATTTTCGAAAACACGTTTTGAAAACGATGGTCGTACAAGGAAATAAGAATATGCGGTTTTGAAAAAAATCGGATACGACACAGCCTAGTGCATATGGTTGTGTTCAGATGGAACTCGGCATGTGCACGTGCTTATGCCAGAGTGTGAAATACTTAAGGYAGAGAAGAGTGTAGAGTTGACTGCAGTGCAGTATACGATGCAACACAGCTTTTTTTTCTTATTTTTATAATTTTTATTTCCTTGTGCAAAAGAAGAGACTGAATGAAGTCGGTGAGGTTTTTCAGTTGATTTCTCAACATGTTCTTTTTCCCGCCAGTCATTTAAGTTAGGTCAAAACTAGACATAAACATCATGGACAATGGGAATCGATCGAGCACTCAAGTAAGAGACTTGATTCATGTGGTCTCTATTGTTTTCTCTGTGTTTATGAACACAAAATAAGATAAATGACCCTGGCTACGACCGGATGCCATTGACAGCAATCTGAAAGCGACTGTTAGATACAAGGCATTTTGTTGCTTAAGCGAAACAGTTATTGTTGCAAAGTGTCTCTTCAAGTAGAGAGCTTTCAATCACTTAGAGAGTTTTAGATACGCGTTTACGGCGAACGCCACAACGTCAAAACTGATGACGTGATCACTGTTTTTCTATATTAACGCTGCGTTCTTTCGCGATTGTGTATAAAAGAGATTACTATTTCGTGCATAAGAGGATTCACTATTCCTTTCGAAGCGTTTTTACGTTTGTTTGAAATTTTGAGACAAAGTATAAAAGATTTTATTTGAGGTTTGGCGTTTGCAGTAAACGTGAATCTAAAACTCTCTACAATCAATTGCAATATCGTTTCAGGCTGAAACTGGTTAAATCCTCAAATCAAAGAACAGCAACGAAAGAAAATGGTCCTCGGCTGGCAAAACATCACTTTGGCGACAGTCTTTTCGGTTCTTCTTGTCGCCAACATTGTTTTAAATTTCCTGGTATTTCTAGCCGTCCACAAAACACTATATCTCAAGACACCGATGAACTATTTAATAGCAAATTTAGCACTGTGTGACATTCTTATAGGGTTGTTTATCTTCCCGCGACATGTTATTGACAAAGCGTTTAGTCACCCTGGAGGGGAGGTAGGGAATTATCTCTGTAAGTTGCTAACAGGTGGAGGGTTTCTCTGGACAAGCGTCACTGCATCCGGGTTCTTCTTTACAGCGATCGCCGTCGAGCGCTACGTTGGGGTAGTGTATCCAGACTCCACTCGGCTCAGAATAAAAAATCGTGGCGTCAAGAAACTCGCAGTTTTGCTTTGGATATTCGCTTTTACTTTTAACTGTCCAAGCTCGTTGTCAATGAGATACGACGAGACAAATGATTTCTGCCTGGAAAGCTGGCCGGATTGGTTCTCCCCTAAAGTATACGTCACAGCAGTTTTTCTCAGTGGCACCAGTTCCGTGTTCTTCATCCACGTCCTTTATTTYAAAATTCTGTGTATGTTTTGGAAAAGAAAAAGGAGGGTCACTGACGTTGGACAAGGTGCCCGACTTCGCGTTCGCACGCGAATAACTGTTATGCTTGCATTAATGGCAATTGTACTTACAATATGTCGCACACCGAACTATGTGTTCTATCTCATGACATACTTTAATGCCGATTTCGTGTATGGTTCGTATGTGTATAAACTTACAGTTATTCTGATACTGGCCAATTCTCTATCTCATCCTCTCTTGATCCTCTGGCAGATGCGCACGATTCGACGAGCAGTCTCAAAGATCTTTAAAGGAATGCGCACGTGCTGTGGTTGAGAGGTGCTTAATGCTGCGCAAGAAACGAAATCATTTGACCGGTGTTGCACGTTCACACTGTGCTTCCCCTGCCTGTACAGTCCTGCTAGAGAATGTAATTTGTGACAAACGAGGAACGAGTTTGGGATAAATTAATATTTTGCCGGCACGCGCCCTTATGCACGTGCAACTGCAGCGTGTGTCCTTAGGGAGAACAGAGTATATAAGTAGGTTATAAGTGTGAGAACGTTGTCTAAGGTCAGCCACGCAACACAAGCCAAGTTCGGTTTAGAAGTCAGCACTACTCAGGAAGAAATGAATGARGACAGAGTTCGACAAATTGTTCAGGCCAGCCAGAACGAGATCCTCGACCAAATGCGACATATAGCTGCATCTGTGATAGATCTGAAGAGATCAAACGAAGAATCATCGACTCAACAGCTTCAACAGATAAAGAAGATCCGTCGCGAAAGCCAGCCTACGTTCAAAAAGAAGAGCAACGAAGACCAATATAAAACAAACAAGTCAGTTTTAGAGACCATCGAAGATGCACAAGCAGCAGTCGTGGCAAAAGACTTGGAAAAAGTCAAAAC